AAAAAAAAAAAAAAAAATGTTGTTTACATTAGTATTATCCCCCAAATGGAACACTTCAATGCAGATCTGACAAAATATGTACAAGAATTATTTGAGGAAATTTTGGATGTAAGATGTCAAAGAAGGACTAAGAGGAGAAATCGTCTGTGTTTATACACAGGACGATGTAGCATTGTGAAGCTAACAGTTCTTTCAGACTTGATACACAGAATGAATGTAAACTCAGCCAAACCCAAGAAGGGCATTTTACTGATATTGGCAAAGTGAGTCTAAAATTTACACGGAGATGCAAACAACTTATTATAGCCAACTCAATATTGACTAGAATGAAGTTGGAAGACTGATACTAAACAATTTCAAGACTGTGAAGCTACAATAATCAAGATAGTGTGGAACAGGCAAACGAATGGACAAATAAATCAATGAAATACAATACAGGGCCCAGAAAGAGATCTCACATAAATTTGGTCCACTGGTATTTGATAAAGGAACAAAGACACTAAAAGACAATAAAATAGTCTTTTCGATTAACAATTCCATAGAAACCAAAGAACTTGGTTTGGTTAATAACTTTTACTTGTAACAGCAAGATGAATTTCATTAAGATTAAAAATTTGGGCTGGGGATGTGGCTCAAGTGGTAGCGCGCTCGCCTGGCATGCGTGCAGCCCAGGTTCGATCCTCAGCGCCACATACAAAGATGTTGTGTCTGCTGGAAACTAAAAAAATAAATATTTAAAATTCTCTCTCTCTCTCTCTCTCTCTCTCTCTCTCTCTCTCTCTCTCTCAAAAAAAAAAAAAAAAAAAAAAAAAAAAGATTAAAAATTTCTGCTCTTGAAAACACCCTGTAAAGACTATGAAAAGACAAACTGCTGACAGAAAATACTGTAAAACATATCTGACAAAAGATGGTAATCCAAAATATTCGAAGAACTCTCTAAACAACACTAACGGATTACTGGGCTCAGGGTGCAAGCGCTCAGAGGAGCTCCCAGGCGCACAGGACTGTCGGTTGGCGAGCGCTTTCCCCACTCCCATTCAGGCTGAGATGGCTGCACCTGTGCCAGCGCTGTGGCCAGTCACCCACATCATCTTTGACATGGACGGCCTGCTTTTGGATACTGAACGGATACGTTCAGGGGTGTTGGAAGAAATATGTGGTCGTTATGAGAAGAAGTACACCTGGGATGTCAAGTCCCTGGTTCTGGGTAAAAAGTCGTTAGAGGCTGCTGAGATCATGGTTGACGTCCTGAAGCTCCCGATGTCCAAAGAGGAGCTGGTGGAGGAGAGCCAAACGAAGTTAAGGGATCTGTTCCCAGCAGCTGAGCTCATGCCTGGCGCGGAAAAACTGATCCACCACCTGCTGAAGCACAACATACCCATCGCCGTGGGCACGAGCTCAGAGTCCGCGTCCTTCGAAATGAAAACCAGAAGACACAAGGAATTCTTCAGTTTGTTTAACCACATCGCGTTGGGAGATGATGTGAAGAATGGCAAACCAGACCCTGAAATATTTCTCACCTGTGCTAGGAGGTTCTTTCCTCCTCCAGCCCCTGAAAAGTTCCTTGTCTTTGAAGATGCTCCCAATGGGGTGGAGGCAGCCCTGGCGGCTGGGATGCAGGTGGTCATGGTACCAGATGAAAACCTGAGCCCAGACTTGACGAGAAAGGCCACTCTGGTGCTCAGGTCCCTGCAGGACTTCCAGCCTGAACTGTTTGGTTTGCCTGCCTACGAGTGAGAGGGAGTTTCTCTGTATTCCTTTGGGCATCCTGGCACCTGGAACCTACTGCTGAGGGAAAGGTTGAATGAAACCAATAGCTTCCTGATTATGATCTGCATCTTCATTGTACCCTTGTGAAGTGAGACTTTCCATCCTGTGTTGGCTTGACTGACTCCGAGGTGTTGATGACTGTCCACTTGATACTTAGTAGAATAGTAAAAGTCAAATAGAGCCAGTCCAGAACACAGGCCTTGCTTTACTATCTCAATAATGAACCAGATTAAGAATACAATAAAGGGATCAATGGCAGCTAGAAAATACAAACCATGTGTGCATACATGTATATACTTTTATATGTGTACATATGTATGTGGATATATATATATATATATATATATATATATATATATATATATATAT